TTTCAGAAGCAGGCCCAAACCAAAATCATCCACACCAGCATTATTGCTGACAACAGTTAGTTCTCTTATATCTGTTTTTAAGATTTCTGATATCAGATTCTCAGGAATTCCACACAGTCCAAAGCCTAGAAATAGAATAAACCTTAGACATATAAAACATCCCATAGTGCGTTGCTAATCCCTCCTATTCCACTAACCACTACTCAGCCCTATTCAAGGCACATCTGGCCCTGGCTCCTGTTTCCCCCACATCATGACCACACACCTCCCATATGTCTGGTAATCCACCGGTCAGACTCCGAGAAGCCCTTAAAAGGGCTGCCTTTTTGGACCTATATCTCTTTCCTTAGCTCCATCTCTCTCACACATGCTGTGCCACGCCCACACGCTCCTATTGGTTCACATATCCTCACCTGATTCTGACACCAGTCTGCACTACTTTACGGTTAGGCAATTCCTTAAATGTTTGGTCCCTATAACTCCAGCGCTTTCCACTTTCACAGCTTACTCATCGCCCTCAAGATGGAGGCAGCAAGGACCTTTGAAACGTAGGTAAACTTCTACCAGACTACATGGCACAACAACCCAGAAGACTCACCGCCATGGAAACCTCAAATCCTACAATGTACTCCAACAATGGGATGAAAGATGTGACGCAATGAGGTAACAAGCCTGACTTTGAGGAAGCTTGTTGGAAAAATCCATGGTGTGCTAGAACCCTAGTGATCCAAGCCTCTGGATGGCAGTCCCCTTTGGTGGCCAGTAGTTTCCAAGTCCAGCGAGGGCAAACATGTTGTTTCTGAAAGTCAGGAGGGCAAAGCCTCTGCAGCAACAAGAAATGGTGGCTTGGCCACAAGTCACAAGTTTGTTGGGGAAAGAACAGGTCTGTTAAGCTGTGGGGGTGTCAACCCCAGTTTGAAGCAAGATTGGGGAAAATCTCTCTCATTTTACCTTGTGGATTAAGGCCCCACAGATGACCTAGCTTCATGTGCGGCAAAGCCTGTTGTGGGCAGTGCCGGTGGTGGCCTAACTTGGCATGGTGGAAACCCAGAAGTGTCCATTCCCAATGAAGGATAAGCAATGAATTTGGAAGTCCAGTGGGGTAGGTACAGGTGGAAAGGCCTGGGTGTTGAAGATCCAATAGTGGTTGCATGCCCAGTTGGGAACAAGTGCAGTTGGGGCAATACCTGGGGGGGGGCACCAACCCCTGGAGTTGGCCTACCCCAGTGGATGGCCAAACCCATTTGGAGCAGTTCTGGTGTTTCCAAGGCCTGGGTGCTCTAACCTGAGATGGAAAAAGCCTAGGGGTTTCCAACTGTGCAAGGGTAACTCGGGAGGAGAAAAGCTAGAGAGAGAAAGAATTGTGGGTGAGAACCAAAAATGAAGAAACATGAGGGTGACAAAGGCCCAGAGGAAAGAGTTTCACTCAGGCAGAAGCACCACCATCCCTAGAGTGATGGAGAGGAACCCCCAGCATTTGAATTCCTACATTCACTTTGCCTGGGGTTACCTAGTTCGCAGGGGTGGCTAAAAATATGGTAGAGAGTTAGTCAGACATGGATGGATCCATAAGGAGTTCTTCGCTTATGCAAAAGTATAAAAAACCTAAAGGAAAAGCAACTTTGCAATACAATAATCATCTATTAACACATGGTAAAGAAGATTTAAACAACAGTAAAAATAAACAGCTCAGTGGATTTGAATGGAACTCTGAATAGAATAAATATTTTTGCATACAAACTTACTTCTGTTTTTCACAACTTGTATGAGTTTCATTCAAATCCATTTAACAGTTCACTTTTCTCATCGGTTTTTTTTTAAATACTTTTTTATTTAAAATTACTAAGCCTGACACAAACTGCTGTCACCTACACAACCCCACTAACCTATCACTGGAATGTTAGTTTTATTTTTGGTTAATAGGAAGGGTACAGTTGTCCCTGGTGCTTATTAAACACATCATGAAGACATAAGTTGTTGTGAAGGTATATAGCTCCACTTACTCTTCACCTTGGCAATATATGGAGGTGAGTAGTCAGATTCACAGCCCATATGTTTTGCCCCAAGTGAAAGTGCTGCTGGTACCCATTGCCCAGGAGGATGGACTAACCCCTTAAGGCAGCCTGGACATTATAGACGAAACAAAAATCTCTTAACTCTGTCAGAATTCAAACTCATGCCATTTAGCTTCTGAAATATACTAAATTAGCTAAAACAACTGGTAATCGTATCATACAGTTGTAACAAACAATAACTATATCATAATGCACATTACATATGTACAGTAAATGATTTTGATTCAGATGTATGTGAGAGTAGAGTGCACCAGTTGGCAATACAAAGGGAAGAGACACGAGAACTGCAGTCTGATCCCGGAATTCCAACGTGTATGCAATGCAATTGTACAGTTATTAATTCTATAAGACACTGGTGTTATTAAATTGTAAGTTGTATGAGATCAATAGTCCAGTTATAAGCATTTATAGTGGATTACTGATTCTGTAATTTTGTAGTATAAGAGCACTGACACCCAACATTTCTTACCACCTATTAACAGGTTGGCTCCGTTTGGGATATCCTTCACAGCTTCTGTAGCAGTTCTTATTTTGTTGTTTCTGTTTGTTATAAAAGAATATGGACAAGAAAACACCTGAAACAAACAACAAGGGGGGTAACTGTAACATAGCACTTCCGTACTACACATAATACAGGTTTGTGAATACATTACAAAACTGTTGAGCATATTGTAGGTTAAAGACGATAATCCTTTTATGTGGAAACGTCATTCTTAACCTTGAACTATGATGTAACACATCGTAAACAGCATACACTATAACAATATGCATCTTTACGTTTACCTTTGACACTTCACAGAGTTGCTTTCTTGTCCAACATCGATGTAAACTCAAAATTGATACACTTATATACTTAGATATCGGAGCCATGTTGTATCCTGTCAGAAATGCGTTTCATCAGTGACTGTATCTTAAGTAGATGTACAGAATGCATACAATCAACTGTGAACATTACTCAAAAGCTATGTCTACACTCGTGCGCTTTCGTTTTCAACTTTCAATTCAACTTACGCTTCGCTACGTTTTGGGCCCACCCATCCTCCTATCAAATGGGTTGCGGGGTTCTTTACCAGGGGTAAAGCACGACTGGGGTGTGATGCTGACCACTCACCCATTTATAGTGCCAAGGTCAAGAATGAGGAGCTGTACTACCTCTCACCCCAAAGAACCTACATGGTGTATAGTGGAACAGCTTTTACTCTTTTTACAGTATTATTTTATTAGTGACAGATTTCCCAAATTATTAAAAAACTACACACCATGTGGACAAACAAACACTTGAAGACGGCAGAGGAGACTTTCAGACTACAAGGCCAAAACGGGTCGATATGACCTAACTCTTTGACTGCTTGATGAAAATGATATTTTATAAGTAGTCTGGCAACAATAAGGATGTACATTCTCTTCCTTATAGACAAACTGTATCATTCTGTACTTCTCACTTGGCATAAAGTTAACATAGCCAGATAGTGCAATGTATCAGTGCTCCAAGGACAAAACTGTGTGCTTTGCCTACATCACAGAATAGCGGGTAGAAGGAAAACGAATGCACATACTACACAGCCAAAGACATTACTGACACTGGAAATGAGACAGCCTGCCCCTGAGAAATAATGTTTTCACCACCCTGAACACCTCAAATCCTATAATGTTTGTATGATGGACAGTACTTGCTTCATTATCTGCTGCCTGTTTCCCTTCCATCATCTCCTTACCTTTTACTTCTAACAACCCTTTGATGCACAGATTCACCATGACTACAGGAATCAGATTCATTATGAAATAAATTTAGTTTTGAGAAAACATTTTAAATTCATAACCGTATAAGTCAAACACTTTCGTATATCTATGTGATAGCACTCACGAAATGGTTACGGTAAAGTAAGTATGTAACATATTAAGCTACAAATGGATGTAATTCTCCTTTTTTCAGGTTGAAACAGTGAACTCCATCATGTAGACTGTCATCGTAAGAAGATGAAGTATAATAATTTCCAAGACTACATGAATTACAGAGGAAAAATAACAGAGGTCATTATTATTATATCTTTTATCATAAATATTATAAGTTATAATATCTGTCATCCTCTTACTGGCTAAAACGCTTAATATCACAATGAATCTAAATACTGTAACCATAATTACTTTATTAAAAATAAATTGTGGAAACAAAGATTCTTATGCCTATCTTGGCAGTTAATTTCAGTTTAATTGCAGTCTCCTAGACATTAAATAAGTACAAATTTAATTACATTAGACAAATGTACTACTTTTCAGGTGGAAGTGTTTAGTATATTTATTTGTACTAACTTCGTGGTTTGATAAGACAGAGGAAGCAGGTTATATTGAAATGGCTGCTGGCCCATACACGAATAAACAGGGAAAGATATGTCAGTGTAAGGCACAAAACCAGCAGAACTTTGAGGAATAAGAAGAGGGAGTATCTGAAAGATCAGATAGGGAAGCTGGAAACTAACAGCAAAAACAACCCATCACAGAGTTGTATAGAGGCATAAGGGAATTCAAGAAGGGGTACAAACTTAGGACACATCTGCTCACGAACTCACATGACATCATAGACAGATGGAAAGATTACTTTAGCAAGTTACTAAACGTTCACATAGCTGATCAAGTTAATGAGCCTGAAGTACATACAGCAGAGCCCTTCATCCCGGAAGTTTCAGAATGAACATAGAGAGTGACAGAATACCCTGATAACATAATTTTATATCCTTATTGCATTAGAAGAACTTTCTAATATTGATAGAAAGAGTTCAGGATCTTCGTCTATAGTTTAAAATCTTTGTTAGGAAGAATGGGTCACAGTTGTTTATTAACTAATAAAATATTGAATATCAGCGAATACTCTGAAAGGAACACACATCCAGTGCTTCTTTTCCAAGTGACAGTAGTCTGATCAGCTTGTACAACAATGTGGTTATATGTACCCACAAACTATCAAGGATGTGGAAGCAAACTCAGAATCAATGTGTAAAATGGGGGGAAATATGCATAACATATTTATTACTACAAAGAAGCTGGTTGTGAGATCACCAATTTTACAAGGTTATGTTATACCGGGTCTCATTAAAACAGGAATGCAATGGAGGGTAAAATTTCACTTACCTTGCTAGCAAACCGCAAATTAAAACTGCTGGTGACTTCCCTTCCGTATATTTTTGTACTCTGTGTTGGCATAAAGTGGCAAATACAGCTGAAATTAAAATGACAAAATGCCAACCTCACGAGGCTTTCGTTTTCAGTTGCTGAAGTACCTGTTGTATGATACCAATCTCTTCTGTGATGTGCCACATTTTACAAGATAAAATCACTAACAAGCAAAGGTAGATATACAGTAAAACCTCTCTAACTTGGACACTTGCGGTTCCACGATAATGTGTCCAACTTACAGAGTTGTCCAGGATAGAGAGAAAGGGGAAAATCATCCTTTCAAAGTGTTGTGTAATAACAATGTGGTAAATGTAGAGTATAATGGAGCCCTTCCCAAAAAGTAAATTATTGATAAGAAAAATCAAAAAAGTAAATTAAATTTTTACAAATTTTGTTTTCACTAAATTCAACTTGCATGGATAAGCTAAAAAGGAAGGACAGCAATACTTTATGTTTACTGACAATGTAATCTATTTACTTACATAATCTAACTACTGTAATTTCTGTTAACAATGTTTAACTCAGTTGCAAGCACTGTACTGACAAAGTTAAAGCTGTACCAGCAATACCTACTGTAGTCCAGTAAAGGGTTCAACAAAAGAATAACTATATACTTTCACTGCATTCCAATGATATGCTCAATGTCTCACCCTCAACCATAAGCTAATCCTCAGGTAGAAGGCATTCATAAGTCATAAATTCAAAACAACAAAATACTAACTGTAAATGTTTCCCATAAAAGCATTGAAGCTAAGTGCATGCATGCACCTGTCCAACTTACAACAAAAGGGGTGACCAAGTTCCAGGATAAATGGGTGTCCAAGATATAGGGTATTGTGGATATGTAAAATTATAGGATATTCGCCGGTTCCAATTAAAACTGTCCAATATAGAGGGGTGTCCAGGATATATGGGTGTCCAACTAGAGGGGTTTTACTGTAGTAAGGTTTATCTCTCCTCGCTTACAATCTTTCACCTACTCTGACCCCTTTCAACAGGATGTTATGTGGTATCTACAGCAAACATTATCACACATCATTTATATAAATCGTTGTGGGTTTACCAGAATGCTGGACGATGACTAAAATCCTGATACTCAGCAATCCAGCATGCTATTGAAGATTTCTGTCTTCTGGGTTGTTGCGTTGTGTAGTCTGGTCAATGTTAACCAGCGTTTCAGAGGTCATACTGCCTGACGGAGGCAGTATAACCTCTGAAACGTTGGTTAACATCGACCAGACTACACAGCGCAACAACCTAGAAGACAGAAATCTTCATACTCACCGCTGTGAATACAAAACACAAAATCTAATCAGAGTCTGAAGTATTCTGGTAGAGGTGCAGTATAATATCCAGAATTTTCTTGTTGCACTATGTCCCATCATCTGAATTATAAAATAATAAGACTACAGTGTTCTGGAAGATGAATTCTGCTACAATCTTCCTGTAAAGAAGCGGAAGGATATAAATCCTTTGTGCTAGTCTGGAGCAGGTCTTAGGTAAGAGGGCCAACAGGATTTCTTGTTCCCCTTCCCTTTTATACGCAATGACAGAAGCAGAATCCAGCTTCCAAAATGCTCTAGTTTATAATTTGGATGATGAACAAGGAGCAAAATAATAATTTTACATATTTGAATGCACTATCATCAGAAACCTTCAGATTTTGTTTAGATTTTATGTTTTGAACTCAGAACTTTATATAATACTATGGATTCACAAGAAAAATGGTTCCTGTGGGGTAATCCCACTGTCAGTTTTTTAGACTATATTAATCAAGTAATTATTGAAGATTGCAGTCTGCCTCCGTCATCAGGGCGATGTCGGAGGCAGTATGACTACTGAAGCGTTGGTGGAAATCTACCAGTTTACGCGGCGCAATATCCTAGATGACTGCAATATTCAGACTCACCGCTGTGAAAACCTGAAATCCTACAAATAAATTATTACTGAGAGTACAAAAATAATGAGCAGTTAATGCTATTTATTTTCCTCTAATGCGGCGGTTCTCTCTGCTTATTCTTCATAACTTCTTACCAGTTCGGAAAGTATGTTGGCTGCTACAGGCACAGTAGATTTGCTGTTGGGTCTGTTGCTTTCCTTGTTTGGTGTTCTTTATACTTAGGCTAAGCAATGGATGTAGTATGGGCCCGTCCATATCTGTTTCTCCAAATGTCATTCGCATCTTTCAGCAGAATATCTCGTGCTGGAACTGATGTGATTCTAAATTATTGAGATAGCTGTCTTGGTTATAGTGCCGTGTGGTCTGGTACAAGTTTACCAACGTTTAATCACTTCACGGCATTGCAACCCACCTTTGTACTCACTGCTCAGATTATACTGCGTCCAGTGAGAGAATGAGGATGATAGTGAACTGGAAGGAAGCGGTTGTGGCCTAATGTAAGGTACCATCCAGGCATTTGCCTGGAAAGACTGAGAAAAACCATGAAAACTCCAGTCAGGATAGCCGGTCTCTGGGCCTCCTGAATACGAAGCAGGAGTGTTAACCACTCGACCATCCATGGAGCCGAGTCCTTACTAAGAAGCCAACAGTTATGCACCTTGCTCAAGATCCCTCAGTCTTCATTCCTCTGATAGTGTCAGAGACCAAGTTTCACACCCATACAAAACTATGGGCAAAATTATAGTTTTGTATACTTCAATCCTTACATTTTTACACAGCAGATGAAAAGAACAAAGTTTCTGAACTGAATGGTAGCTAACATTACTCATATTTAACCTGCTCTTAATTTACGCATTAATACAATTTTTATTTGTTTTTGCCATTCCCAAATATCATAACTTTGCCACATTTTCAAAGGATCTATTAAGTATCTGTATGTTATGAATTTTCCCTGCATTGTGGTGACAAGACATCAATATTTACTTAATTTTCTTTGTGTTTACTTCTTGACCAACCTCCTTACCAGTCACAATTAGAGATTCTGTGTTTTCTTTATGGTATTTGTTATCCCTCAATCAATTTACGTCTTAAGCATAGATCAGAAACTGGATGTGTGTCCCTTTCAGTTTCAATCCCACCTCGTTTTATGGACCTTCCTAATGGAGTATTCTAAAGCAAAGTTGAAAAGCACTGACAATAAAGCATCTCCTTGTTTTAAACTATTTTGAATAGGAAACATTGTCAGACAAATATTTGCCTATATGGACTTTATTACAGGTTTCATTTAAACACATTTTAAGAAACATAACTAGTTTCACTGGTGTATAAGACTCAAGTATATTGTACAATACTTCCCTCCTAACTCATAGGCTTTCTTGAAGTCTATCAATAGCTGAGGTACTGTCTCATTATACTCCCATTTTTTCTCTAGTATCTGACAAATACAAAAATTCTGATCACTAGTTGACCTGTTACGCCAAAAACCTCAAATCCTACATCTGAGCAGACTAGAATAGAATTTATTTATATTCCACATTTTTCATAGGCCCAAGCCAAGGATGTAGAACATGTCACAACACAAACACAATACTTGTTTCTAATACAAGTATAGATTACATAGTTATGAAAGTAATTTATAGTCAAGTAAATAATGACACAAGAAAGTATACCCACTATTGCTTACAGCAAGTAAATCTGTCCTACTATTGGATAGGAGGCTATTGTTTATATGTATTTATAATAGCTGAGAATGTGTGATTGTGGTAAAGTCTTCTATAGAGCAGGAGTGGAATAGGAGATATTCTTTTAGTGCTGCCTTAATATTCTTTATATTAAGACTGAGACTTTTTATAGTGAGTGGAAGATCATTGAATAGCTTAATTTCAGTAGAGTAAGCTCTCTCTTGATTTGTACTGAGTTTAATGTTTGGCATATGAAGGTTATATCTGTATCTTGTACTTATATTGTTGATATCTGAGTTTGTTTGAAATTCTTCTATGTTTTGTATTGCCATTGTATTCCTGCTATTTGTAGGACAAACTCTGAAGACAATGGCGAAGCACAGGACATTTTTTTATAACTTTTGTGCAACAGGGTGGGACATGCACAGAACCTGGAGAGGGTGTTTCAATAGTGAAAGTGGCAGTATGGGACAGGTGCTTCCATGCAACACATTTTGATAATTGTCCTCAGTACATACTTTCAATCACGGGCTTCAGCCCTTCACGTAGCATCTCACTGTAATGTACACAACTTAATGCCATTCCCTACTGCTGATAATTCTCAAGTATTGGTCCTTGATATTCCCAAAATGTGTGAGTATAACTATTTCTGCTGTTGGCTGAGATTCAAACTTCTTTATGATACGGGATATTGGCCATTTGTTCTCCAGGTCAAAATAACAGATCTACATTTCATCACCAGTGACAATGCAACATAGAAAGGCATTATATTTCTCATGATACCTGCTCAGAAGGCAGTTATATATGTCCAAATGGTTGCATCTCTACCATACTCTAATTTCAGAACCCAGCTTACATAAACCCTATGGAAGTGAAGTTTGCTGTGGACCATTTCACAGGTAGGTGGTCTGTTACCCCACTGATAGCCATTTGTGTCAAGAATCAATGCATGGATTTTTTAGCATTTCCATTAGTCACTAATGTGGATGGATGCCTTAATTATTCTTCATCAGTGACAGTTGTCTGGCCACTCAACTTTTGAATGTCAATTCACCTGAACACATGTTGCTGTGGCAAAAACACTTCTAGTATGCTGTGCTGATTGCAGTATTTTTCCACACCTCTGATATCTTTTACCCTCAGAAACCTAATCACTGCACACAGCTCTTCTTTGGTGCATGTGATAATACTAATGGCACAAGATAATTCTGATTATAATGATAATGATAATTGCACTGAATGGTCAAGGTAAAAAAAAAACATTCACTACAGTAACTGAGAGGTACTGTCCTTGTGGTTGCGCATGCATTCAGTGCGATGCCAATCAAACAAATGAACAATTTGTGTACATCCTTTTACTCACCCTCACATATTGGTTGACATGAACATCTCATCCTGTATTCTCAGAACCCATAACATTTTAAAATAACTGTACTTAAGAATGTAAGTCTCAACTTTCAAAATAAATTTACAGTCTTGACAAAATCTTGTGAGATAACTTTTGCCCATTGCCACTCTGAGATTGAGAGATTAGGATTCTCTTTCTCCCCCCCCCCCCCCCCCCCTTCTTACTTATGTTGTTTCCATACTTGTTGGTTCACCTGCATAGGAGTTTTCAGTTGTTTCTCTCTGCCCATTCTTGCATTTCAACTACAGTCTTTCAGTCTCATTCTCGCCGCTCTATATATCTCTTAACTTCTATCCATCATATGTGTTGTCTGCCCCTGGATCTTCTTCCATTGGTATTCTACATTCATTCATTCTTTTAACATGTCCAAACCATCTCAATCTGCTTCAATGTATTTGATGCTGTATATTTCCTCCATCTTGAGTTCTCCCTTAATATAAGTTTCTAATTCTGCCTCTCCTAGTTTTTCCCACAATCATCCTCAGGAATTTAATCTTATCTGCTTGTAGTTACCTTTCCTCTTTCTTAGTGCATGTATATATAGAAATAGTTAGTTTAAATTATGAAAACTGGAATAGCATTTATGATGCCCTTTTTAATAGCTGCAATTACAAATCAATCTCTGGTATGTAATAATTACAAATATAAATCTCTAATACCATGAACACTAAACATGGAATGGAAAGGAAAGGATTAAAATTACAACAGAGTTTACTTATTATAAATCTATATATGTATTTTACTTATAACTGTTTATCATATAATTTATAATAAGTCTATAAAGTATTTTGTATCTTAGAAAAAACCTTTCTGTTTTAAAAAGGATTAATTATAATATAACATTGTTCTTAAAATATGTAGTTCAGTTTGTTGTATACTGCAGTGCTCATGACAACACAACCTTCATATGAACATGCTCCCAATGCACTCTTATGTTCATTTCAGCCGCCCAGATCGTGCATCTGTAATTACTCCCCATAATTCAATGATAAATTCATCTGTGAATCCAAATTCTTCCAGTTCAGAACTGTCTATGGCTTCTGCAAAATCCATGCTATTTGTTTTGCCTTGTGCTTGCTCCCAAATGAGTGCAGCTGAAAAGAAAGTACATAAAGTAAAAGGCTACAATGATCATAGACTTTACTGATTTTTCAATTCTTCAATCTTTGCCTCAGAAATCCTGTGGAGAGACTGTCAACAGAGTGTGTTGATCTTCCATGAAAGTTTCAAGCAAGTAAACGTTTGGTTTTTGAGGTTTTCCTGCTAAAAGGGTTGTACAGTTTTTATTATTATTATTATTATAATTGAACAAAGTCCTGTTTAGTTAAAGTCTAATGGTGGCAGTAGTAATGTATTTGTTTTTCAAAAGTGGTTCAGCGGATTATCACAGAATGGATCCAAAAACTCACTTTTTATTAAGTTATGAAACTGATTATGGAAAAGTATGATTCACATTAATGTTGGGTGTTGGGAAACTGTGTTCAGTTATGCCAATTACACACATTGTTGTGCCACTATACATGTGATTACACAGTTGGAGTGGACACAAGATTATCTGTCCTTAGTAATAAACACAGTCAGCTTGCGTTCGATTGCATTGAGTCAAACTTTTAAGGTAGTTTACATATTAATTCACATGAGTTATATTTTGTAGTTTATAATTTTCTAACTATCTGCCCTAATTATGCTTATGTGTTTATTACAGCATTTAATTCACTTATATTTGAAGAAAGAGAATATTCTCAAAGAATTTTGTATGGCTAATCTTTGGTTTATGCATCCTGTAGTGTTCTCATTACACAAATAAAAGGATCACCACCACAATGTGAAGATATATGAAAGTATTATCTATGAACTATGTTTTGACCCTTAGGTCATCATCAGGTGGAAATATATTTAAAAAAGTCACTATTGGATTGGTACACACATCTACTCCTAATGTAATAGCCAGTGTCCATCACACTTGACTGTATGAGTTTGCTGTTTGTGTGATACAGAAAAAATTAAGTTCTGGGAGCGGTAACTGTGGTAACATGATATGCAAATGAAGCTATGCTAGTGCCCATGGTGAGATCTGGTGGAGTCTGCATTTGGTAGAAGTCTGAAGTTAGGCAGTTGGTTTAGTGTTGGTAAATTTTGTGAAAATCAGGCTTTAATTTCCTCAAGTTTTAACATTTTATTCACTTTATAAAGAAATTTCATAAATTGTGTATATTCAATGTGATTTTCAAAGATAATGATACAATAAACTGTATTACTCTTTAATACAAGAAAGGTTTATTCCCATCAACTCTTGATAGGTCATATTGTGATAGAATGGCTTTATTGGCTGGAGCTGCATCAGTAACATCTTACAATTTGTAGCATCATGAATAAACACAACCTGCAAATCATGTGGTTTACATCTACTTGGAGGGACATATCCCATTATGTCCTTCCATAAATTACAGGTCTTGTGTATAGTTCAAGATATGGTATAATCAGTCTGTAACTTCTGTGGCTGCTGAATGCTAGCTGGTCTACAGCCAGTCTCACAAATGGATATTACATTTTTCCATTCAACAGTTCACTATATGTGACAGATTTTGCCACTTATTTTTAATATCCCAATATCTTAATATATTTATTGTATTATGTGTGTGTGTGTGCATACACACATTAATTTATTTATTATAATTGCATACTGAAAACTGTAAAACCTACCTGATATGGATCATGCCCACTAAGATAATCACATACACATGTATGTACCATTTATTTATATATTATTACCTGATGATAACCTAAGGGCCAAAACATCAAGTGGACTTCTTAAATAATACATTCAGATGTCAATATGGTGTGTTGATGATCCTCCAATTCATATATGCAACTGCATGGTTGATTTGTTTATTCAGATCAGAAGTGATTCCATTGTTCAATTTCATGTACCATTACCTGAGGAAGTGTGAATGTGACATTGATCTCATCATACATTATACAAAATCCTGTGAAGGTCTTCATCTAATCAAATTGCACTTTCTCATTCTGGTATGTAACTTACTAGAAGCATCCACTGAAAACTTTACAACCTTGCTAGACACAGCATCAAATACTGTTTACAGCTGTAATCTTGAGATTTGCAAGGAATGCAGGAAGTCTGAAGCGTTAAAGGCAGACGCTATCTTTCTCCTTCCTCCTTCACCCCACCTCTTCACCCCCACAAGTCTCAAGATTACAGTCGCGGACTATAGTGTAATTATTTAAATCTGTGATCACTTAGCAGTGATCTAGTTGTACAAACAGAAAATTACTGAAAGATTCAACAATTATTGTGAAAACAATAGAAGTATGTGGCAGGCAGATTCAAAAGGCAGCAAGTAAAGAACCATGTAACCGAAGCAGCAGCCATGGTACATACCTTGTCTGTACAGGAAATGAAAGTAAATACTCAGAAAAATATTACCTCAGCAAAGAATTTATTCATAAAATTCATAGAAACCAAAGAAATAAAAACATCATGTATGTGCTGCAGTTCAACAGATTAATGGGAATACAATAAAATGAGTTTTATTTTAATTTCTTAAATTTTTAGATTAAATAGTTTACTTTTATATCCATGAAAACATACCAAGAACCAATAAAATAATTAGAAAACAGGAACGTTTTACTCAAAATATGCTAGTAACAGACAGAAAGCGACTCAGAACTGAGATCAATGTCACACAATAATTTCTGCTGTGCAAGGGTCAGCTGAGGTGACAGCTGTTCATGAAAGCATGTAGTAAGACTTAAGGAATGATGGTGATACTTGTTTTAAGATATGGTACTAATGCTTGAATTATAAAAAGTTTCTAAAGTAGAAGAACCTGATTCCTTGTCTTATGGTAACTAATTAGAAAGTATTATCTGTTTTGGTTTGAACAGTCTTACCAAGTTCTGAATCATTTATTCCCATGAAGCTCTCCAGCAAGTTATTGATTTTCTCAATTGCAACCTGCTGCTCATCAGTAGCCTGAAACAAACATTTATTTACATTTCATTTGTGTACTGGCATCTCATATGAACAGATTTGTAAATGGAAGTTGTAGATCATCCATTTTCAATAGCTGCATTAATTTTGTAGCTCTCTGTTAAGACCTTCCATTACACAGAACAGCAGATCAAATATATTGGTATATGGTCATCTACAGATTCCTGAATCCACTATTTCTGGTTTTGCTTATTTCTGAGCAGCTTCCCAATAATGTGTTAGGACAGAGGAAATAGCGAAATGGCCAGGGACAGGCTAGTGTCCTTTGTGGAAAATGAACCCCAGTTGTCCAATCCACAAGCAATCACTTTGCTGACTTCATTACAATATGCGTTCTACATAATAAAGTAAATCAGACTAAACTCAAGTGGTCATTCCTACCTGCTCTATCTGTGCCTCTCCATTGGCTCTGAACCTGAGCGTCTCCTTTCCAGTCCCGTAGTTTGCCTTCTTACCCTTGCGAGCATCACCTTTAGGCCCCACATTAACTACAAGAAAATGTATAATGTAAGAGTTACCTTACTTCAGAGAATTTCTTTGGTGTATTCACCTACTAAAACCTGTATTAAGGAATTAACTTGAACATACTGTATTGTAAAGTTAATGTTTTGACAATTTCTGTGGAATGTCAAGTAAAACACTGTACAAATTTTCACTGAAGCTTACTATTACTGGATTTAAATTTTCGAAATTGTAAAACAGTCCACAAATTTAAAACACATTTTTGTAAGAAAAATACTTAAGGCCTATACCAGTTCATAAGATTATTATGTTTAAAAATCAGTTTTCATTTGTTTCTCATTCTTGTATCGTACTAACACCATAAAATGAGCCGTAATAGCTCAGTCAGTATAGTGACTAGCTACGGGCTGGACGACCGGGGTTCGATCCCCGACAGGGGCAGAGGATTTTTCCTCTAGCCTCTGTGTCCAGACCGACTCTGTGTCCCACCCAGCCTCCTCTACAATGGGTACCGGGATCCTTTCCCGGGGGTGAAGCCGGCCGGGGCGTGATGCTAACCACTCACCCCCATCTAGTGCCGAGGTCAAGAATGAGTATGAGCTATACCTCCTCTCACCCCAAACGCGTACATGGCGCATAGCGGGACAAACTTTACTTTACTTTACTAACCCCATAAAACATTTTTATTTCCATTACAATTATCTAGTTTATGTATAACATTAAAATTGAAAGGAAAGACAATGTAAAATACTGGTACTGTTACAGGCCTTTTTCTAAATACCAATAAAATGGCCAAAGTACTTTGAGAATAAATAAACACATACACATGGAAGAGAAGACTTTCTTTATTGTTGTGAGGAAGAGGGAGGGATGTCTTACAATACCAAAATTCATATTACTGAGCTGAAATATCACTTAATAGAGTGTAGAAGAATGAAAGTTTTAATTTTAAGTCAGACTAGACCAGTCAGACAATTACAATTTCTAAGTAGCAAATTTAATGCGAGACTGTTAATGTTGACAATGTATCTATTTAGTGAAACTTTGTCATATCTGCAATGCCACTAGGCAAGGGGGCTCTGCTTATCTTGACTCAGTATCCAGTATCATAAATAAGGACTAGCAGTCACAGTTTAAAAAATACTTTACATTCTTCCAACATTTTAGTATAGACAGGGATGACTGGCTTATTTATGTTAACACAGCTCTATTAGCTATGTTGTAGTTGCTGTCTACAGGTTAACACTAATCATACATTCTATCATCAAAAATTTTATGATAATGTGAGATATTACCAGAACATTTGCATAGCAAACAGTCTACTGATAACTTCGATATCATTGATTGTAACTGTAATATGTAGGAGAAAAACATGACTGGTTTTCTCGGAATCCCACTGATACTGATTGCATTACTTCATTTTTCTTGTTATGATTTCTGAATAATGTAATCACAAATTATGTATGAACAGTCATTTATTTATTTATAACAATATTAACCCTGTCACCAAGATACTCACTGAAGCCATCCTTAAGTGGTTCCACAAGCCTAATTGTAAATATGCTATCTCTTGGAATTTCCTTGAGCATTTTTGCAACTTCAAAATGTCGTCTTCCCACAAGATTCTCAGAGTTGATCTTTTCAATATGGTCACCAACCTATAACAAGTACATATAGCATGTAATTCTAGAAATGTCATTGAGTCACTGTTCTGTTCCAGAAATAAAATTCTTCCACATTTTATGTGAGGGTCCATCAGCTTTGAGATAGCTGCATTTTCTTTAAGTTCTTACAATATTCTGACAATTCAATGCAGTTGCTATCCTTAGGGCAAATGTCATGGATAGGAAGGTCTCAGAAAGAGGGTGGAAAAGGAGACTGGTCAGTGTACTGCTCTGTATGCTAGCCAATGGATTAGACCTGGGAGTTTAAAATGAAGGGCAAAGGAAAGTGGTGAGATCAGATTTTATTCAAACTGTATCTGTCCTCCCAGCAAATATTCTCTGGAAGTCTCATTATTTCACTGGCTCCTATGGTGATGTAAGGATGATATCTGTGGATGTTTGTTATGAGTTCTGTTTAGACAGTTTGGTCGATAAATTAATGTAATATATGTACCGGATGGACTGTTAATTGTTTGCCCAGCAAACTCTGCCACAGCCAGTCCCAAGCCTGGTTGAGACAGGAGGAAGGACATCTGCTGCTACTTGAATGGAGATCAAACCTCGTCTCAAGGAGTTTAGAGACCGAGAACATATGGGTCTCTGAAGCGGCACATGGGGGCCATAAGGAGACAGCTCCTCCACTATGCTAGGGTACTGAAGGCCAATCCCCTACATACCCGAAAAGTTTTGAGAAAAAGTGAAGCTTTTGTGGCAACTGAAGTTGATGAAAGACTCTTCGGCTACAGGTACTGATCATTATCTACTCACCATGGTTAGGGTTATTGAGAGTCAGAAGGGGGGGAGAGACAAAGAAATTGGGGGCAGTAAAGATGCAAGGTATACAAACTAAAATCACAGGAGATTCAAAGAATGTATTGGGAAGAGATAACAGATGCAATCAAAGCACTGGAAAATAAACCATACATTAATGATCTATACGAAAGTTGGGTAAACTTTAAAACAGTTATCTTACATGCAACAAAAGAAGTATGTGAAAAGTCAAAAGCAAGGATAGAGGAAGAAACAGACCTCCTGGTGGAATGAAGAAGTTAAATATAAAGTAAAAATTAAGAAACAACTATGGCACAAGTTTTTAATAACCAAATGAACAGAAGGTTATGATAGTTAGAAAAGGCAAAGAACAAAGATGAAAACCATAGTTATACTGGCTAAACATAGCCTTGGGAGGAGTTTGGAGAATGTATGGAAAATACCAGTAAACATAATTAGAAATTGGTTTATTAAGTTTCAAAAACAGGAGGAATGATAAAGAGTGCCCATTAAAATTTATCAAAGGAAAATATGGAGACTGCTAACCCAAGAAAAAGAAATTATGACGAGATGGAAATAATATTTTTCAGAACTACTAGGTGAGCAACCATTAAGGGTAGATGCTGGTGAAGATCACAACAGAGGAGAATCTCTGAACTATAAATGGACTTTTAAGAAAGAGAAATGGAAACAGCTATTAAAAAGATGAGAATTATAAAAGCTGCAGGACATGACATGATATCCCCAGAAATGGTGAAATACATGTGTAAGGAAGGAAACTCACTGTCCCTCAGAACCCTAAGACATGTTTGGAAGGAAAAGAGGATTTCAAGACACTGGGAAATTTCAGTATTTGCCCCTATCTACAAAAAGGGGGATAATAGGTTGTGTGAAAATCATAGGGGCATATCACTCTTCAGCATACCCAGAAAGATTTATGCCAGAATACTCAAAACAAGGTTAGGGCAAAGAATAGAACACCAATTAGAAGGAAGCCAATGTGGTTTTAGACCAAGTTGAAGCACATCAGATCTAATTTTCACCCTCTGACAAATAAACAAGAAGGTAATTGAATATGGGAAGGAAGCTCATGTATGCTTCTTTGATTTGGAGAAAGTATTTGATAGGGTACCTCAGAATAAGCTGTAGAATGTGCTATGAAAGTTGGATGTAGAAGAAAATTTAATCAGTGGAAATCAAAAGTGTCTACAAAAGTAGTTGCAACTATATACAGACAAGCAACATTGAATCAGAAGAATTTGAAAAAAAACCAGGAGTAAAACAGGGCTGTATAATTATCCCCTTGATGAAAGACTCCCAGGTTACAAGCCACATCAGGTGGCTGAATAGTGAATAAACCATATCTTCTGCCAACGTTTCAAGAACAATCTCTGCTCTCATCCTCAGGGCTGCTTGGTAATCAGTCCAATCCTTTGTTACACACACACTGCTGGCAACTGGTGGTTGACAGCAGGTAGTATGATGTTGCTGGTAGCTCGTCCATTGGTTTGTTTCGCGCTGGCCAATGGGAACTGACAGTTGAGGTCATGTGCTCATACTAGCATCTTCAGTCACCACAGAAGCTTCACTTTATACAATTATCCCCTTGTTCTTTGTCATATTAATGGATGACATTATCAAGGCATGTAAAGGGAAAACCAAAGCATTGCAGGTAGGCAATTGGTTAATGAAACCTGTTGCTGTTAAGGAAATAACCTTTGCAGATGATATTATATTGTTGTCTAAAACAGATAAAGGACTCCAGCATAAATTAAATTCCTGGAATTCAGAAATGAAGAAGAGAAATATGAACATCAGCATGAATACAACAAAAACTATGATTATCAGATGAGTAAAGAAGAATCATGACATCAAACTTGACAATGAACCCCTAGAACAAGTCAAATGTTTTAAATATCTGGGGGCAGAACAGAAGAGATGAAGAAGTACTGAACAGAATCACAACAACAGGGAGACTATATAATAAGATAAATAAGAACTTTTTAACAAAAAGTGAAATTATCAAGAAGACAAAACTATCAGTCTATCGGTCAACCTATTTTCCAACAATCCTCATTCAGCACTTTAAACTGAGACATGACATTCACAGATATATGATTGATGTTTCAAGATGATATTTCTTTGTTGTGTCTAGAATTATAAGGACAGATAAATTTTAAACCAGATTTTTTGTTATTGAAGTCTGAAGGTTTCTGATGATGGTGCATTTTACATGTCAAATTGCTCTTATGGACTTTGACCATTATTTAAATTATAAAATAATAAAACTACAATACTTAGGAAGGTTGTTTCTGCATGTCTTCAGGCAAAAAAAAAGGGGGGGGGGAGAAAGGACAGAAAGCCTGTCTGTTGAGCCTTGCAGACCTCACATGTCTGAGGCTAAGACAAACAGAATCTGGCATCTGATAAATTTTAGTTTTATTATTTTATAATTTACATGATGGATGAATTCAAAAAGAACAATTTTACAAAAAAGAATTTTCATCATTTCTTGATTCCTCAATAATTGGCTGAGAGCCCATCATAAAAAATTCTATGGTCCTGGGATAGTAAGTGCATGTACATGCAGGTGGAGAGTATCTTGTGAGGACTTCCTTATATGACACTACTACTACTACTACTACTATGGCGTAACAGCCCAAAATCGAGCCCTAGCCTCCTCTATCTTCTTCCTCCAATTCTCTCTATCCAACGCTATCCTTCTCCAAGCTGCTGTTCCAAGGAGATTTCTGGAGTCAGTCGTCACTGCATCCAGCCATCTACCTTTAGGTCTTCCC